GATTAGCTGGCTACTCATTAACTGCTGGCCTCTTCTGCAGGGGCACAGCCTGCCCAGCCAGCAGACCCCACAGCCCAGAACAGGCCAGAACCACATGGGAGGGACCAGAGGGCGCTGAGACTCAGGGGCCAAATCCATCTCCCAAACTCATGGATGAGTGAGGTCTGTCCTCTCATGGGAAGGGGTGAATGAAGGAGAGGAGAGGAGAGGAGAGGAGAGGAGAGGAGAGGAGAGGAGAGAGGAGAGGAGAGGAGAGGAGCAACAAGGAGGGAGGGAAGGAAGGAGGAGGGGCACCTTGAAATCCCACTTAGCCAGGAGCACTCTTGTGGGAATATGAGTGCAGGGCTGAGGCCCAGGTGGAGTGTCTTCCGCTGCATTATAGTTGCTGTCTCACTTTTTATCTGAATGTAAGCTTTTCCCAGCAGCACCGTTGTCTTCCTCACCTTGGTCTCGGGCATTTCATGGAGAATTGGCACCTGGTAATGCTCAGTAGGGATTTGAGCAGCAGAACGGAAAAGGGAAACCTCTTTCTAGAACTTAGGGTTGGAGATGCCTGCATCTCACATTCTCTGACTGCTTGGCCGTGGGCCCAGGGGTGCTCTGCTGCCTCCTGAGGCCACAGCCAAAACGTGGTTGACAAGAGGTTCCGGTTTCCCAGGGAGTCTCATGGCCTCTGGCCAGGCCTATTTCTGACTGAGCTCCATGTGGCCTGGACCCCGGTTGTCTTGTCCAGCCTGCAGGTCAGGGCCTAGTGGCTGGTCTACGTCAGCAGGGACTGGAGCGTCTTATGCCTGCCATCTGCTCAGGGCCCGGCACCGTCATCTTAGCTTCCCCAATCACTCCTACGCCGAGTTCAAGGCACCAACATGTCATTTCTTCTTCACTGAGGACTCGTCTGCTTCTTCACTGGTGGTTGAGGATGAGGCCCCACGCCCTTTTAGAAGCCTGTCCTACCCCGTATTGGCTGTGATTTGGACTGACTCAGGCAAAAGAAAAATGCTTGCCGAGTCACCACCACTTCCTACAACACCCCGGATCTCCATTAATTAAGGCCTCCAGTCCACGAGGTGAATCACCAGCCTGAGATCAGAAATTAGGGCACACCCCAGGCGCCAGGATTTAAGGAGCACAGCTCAGTCCCCTCTTTGTAGAGCTCAGAACACAGGACCCATCCCTGTCTTGCTCTGTCCTCGTGGCTGCCTCCTCCAGACAGCAGGAGGTGAGCGCCTGTGCCATGGTAGGTCATCGTCCTTCTATTTGTGTTGGCATAAGTATTTCGCATTCAAACACATGTAGTTTTGACCCTGCAGCGGGGAGCTTTTTGGAAAATACTTCCCTCTCAAACGAGCTCTAGTTAAAGTCACTGGTCCTAGAGTGTTTCCAAAACAGAGAATGTACTTAAATTGTGAGTCAGTTGTTGAAATACTAGGGAAGTTTAAAATAATTGACCAGTTGGCATAATACTCTCCAGGTCCATCCCATATGATCTCACTAATATTTAGAATCTAATGAACAAAATAAACTGACGCATGGATGGAACCAGAAGCATGGAAACATGGAACAGACTGGCAGGTACCAGAGGGGAGGAAGGTGGTGGTGACTGGATAAAGAAGGTGAAGGGGTTAAAGAACATATATGCACATCCCATGGACATGGACAATAGTGTGGTGAAGGCCAAGACAGGAGGATGCAGAAGTGGATGGAGATGGGCAAAGGGGGAGAAAATGGGGAACATCTGCAATAGTGTCAACATTAAACATTTTTTAAATTGGAAAATAATAATTAACAAGTTACATGAAAGCTCTCTTGGGTATACTGTATATTCAAATTGAATTATGCATTTCAAAGTCACAATAGGGCCAAGGTCTTTCAAACCTGGATGTGGCCACTTGTTAGTTGTGTTACTTCAGACAAGCCCTTTGGGTCTTTGAAGCCTAGTTTGCTTATCTGTGATGCTGGAGAAGATCACTCCCATTTAAATAGCCTCATAACGATGACAGGATGTGCTGAAGAAGGGACAATGGAATCCACGGAGGTCACCTCTGTGCCAGCTACTCTGCCAAGTGCTGTCTCATACCGATATCTTTTCAAATCAGTTTGAATACTTACAAAGTTATGCAATGTTGGGTTTTCTTATAAGTTGTATAACTGTGGGGGAAGTCTCTTAATTGCTCAGAACTTAATTTCTTTATCTGTGAACCTGAAATAATTCCAGCAAACTCAAAGGGTTGGGTAAGACTTACCTGAATTCTCAGAGGTAGAGGTGCTGGGCAGAAGTGATAAAGAAGCTTACGACGAGTAGATTAGTATTGATGTTGATAATATATTTTGAAATTGCTGCTTGAGAATAACCTCCACAGTCTTCCTAAGGGATTATACCAGTCTGGGCGGTGGCATCCTTAATGACATAGTTAATGACAGAAGATCTAAGTATCCTTTTATCCAACCCAGACTTTAAATACACCCTCTGCTTAGATCGCACTACCAATTTTAAAAGGGCTCAGAGTCAGAACCAATGCTGTTGATGGGCCCTTGGGATTGTCATCCCACATTCTGAAGGTGGAGTTCTCCTTCTGTGAAAATAGGCCTGAATGATTTTTCACGCTTTTTGCTTTCTTAAAAAAATTTTTTTTATTTTAAAAAAATATATATTTTTTATTGTTTTCAGAGAGAAAGCGAGAGGGAGAGAGAGATAGAACATCAAGGATGAGAGAGAATCATTGATTGGCTGCCTCCTGCACACCCCCCACTGGGGATCGAGCTCACAACCCAGGCATGTGCCTTGACCGGAATCAAACCTGGGACCCTTCAGTCCACAGGCTGATGCTCTATCCACTGAGCCAAACCGGCTAGGGCTTTGCTTTGGTTTTTAAGACAAAACATGCTTTGGGATCTCTTATCTTGAGAGTCCTAATCCTTGTGAAAGTAGCCACTGTTTTACTATTCATTCCTCAGGGAGTAGTTTGTGCCGCATGAAGTCAGCTCAGGAAATTCTGAATTTTCTCAGCAAACCTGAGAGCTGGCAGCCGGGGAGGTATCCTATCCAGCTGAGGAAGAGGACTTGAAGGAGGAGGGGAGGGAGAGGGACCAGCAGGGAAGAAGGGAGCCACAGCACTCCAGAAAGGGAGTCCCGGGGAGAGTGGGTCCTATGGGAAACTTCCTCCCGGTCTTGGCTACTAGAACAAAGCACCAGCCTCCTCCTGACCCTTGGGCCTCACTCAGCTGGAAAGTGCTTCATATACATGCCGACTGCCAGCTGCCACCACTTCCAGTCTTCAAGAGGGACCCACACAGACCTTGTGTGCCAGGCAGAGTGATTTTCTGGTACTTCTTCCCTCAATGACTTGACCAGACTTGAACATGACTCTCACGGGGCAGGGAAAGACAGCTTTGTGCTCAGACTTGCCTGATTAGTTTAATGTTTATGGTCAATATGTATAAGCTTAGGGATTTATTTTGGTGCATTATAGCTCTAATAAAATAGGATAGGGACATCAACAGTGTTTGATGTGTGCTTGAGTCCAGAATACTTTTTAACACGTTTGTGGTCAGTGTCTTTCAATGTTGAGAAAAGAGATCTCTTTCTTATTTCACTTTAAAATATTGTGGTAAAATAAACATAGCATAAAATATATCACATTACCTAATTTCAAGTGTACATTCTCAAGTACATTCACATTAACAATATAAGAGAAGTAAAGTCAAATAACACTGAATCTTTAAAGAGTTGTTGTGTTAATATGAGATGATGATTTAAAATGCTTTTTAAAATAAGTCATCTCCCTTCACTCTCACACACACACACACACACACACACACACACACGAGTGATGACCAAGAAATCATTGGATGGTGGCGTTTTCAGGCCTAGATGGTGAGATTCCAAAATCCAGGTGACAGAAACTGGAGGAAAAACCTACCTTGGAACCTGGTGACAAGCCACTCACTGTAACCAGGAGATTATAGCAGTTTGCTAATATTGCTCATTATACCACTTATGAGAAGAAATAGTGTATGTTTATGTGTTTTTATTTTCCATTTTCATGGTTACCCTAACGAAACAACAATGGCTAGATAGCTACATTTGGAAACACAAACTCCAGAGCAATGGAGCGGTGAGGTTTTGTGGAGGGAGGGTGTGCCAGTGCAGGCGCAGGAGGGCCCTAAGGAGGCTGGTGCTGGCTGGGCCCTGCCATCCTGAGGGAGCCCAGGGACCTGGGAGCAGGCAGCACCTGCAGTGACCGTTGCAGACAGCAGGTGGCAGCAGTGGGCAGCTCCCCGTCATTCTGGGTTCTACTCCGGCCCTTAAATCTGAGAAACTGGTTTCCCAGTCATATGACCAAGTGGCATATAGCCCTGGATGGGTTACCCAGCTTCTCAAAGAAACGGAAGAGGCCAAACTAACCACTAGTTTCCGGTCTTTTCCTAGCAAAAACCTGCCATCTTTCATGATTTAGCTTTGTGTTCCTGAAGACCCCCAGTAGAAACTATATCAATGGCATAGAAAAGACTGGAAGGAAATACACTGGGGTTTCATGCTGATGTTTCCGAGCGGGGCTGAGAAATGGGACTCCCGCTTTTAACTTTATATGCTTCTGTATTTGCTTTTTAATGCAAATCAATTTAATGAAAAGTTTAAAATAATGGCAATATTCTATTTCCATTTATTACCCCAGGAATAACAATAATAGTTGTAAGGAGACTACAAGTATTATGAACCTTTGTTCTCTTGTGATCAAAAAATAAATAGAAACTACTCATGCTTCTCAGAGGGAATAAAAAATATTTGAACATCTCCAGTGATATTTCTCAATTTAAAAACAAACAAACACGGAGTCTACAAAAGTACCAACACCCACACACACACACACACACACACACACACACCACGCAGTTCCACAAGGGGAAGAGATTCCAGATGTGCTTAAATGTCTAAACAGCTGAGCCGAACTGGAACACATAAACACACAAGACAGAATTAGTAGGCAATCACACAAGGTTTATTTATATATTCCTAGTGGGTCCTAGGCTCCAGCAAAGGCCACCCGGCAATGCACACCGAAAGACGGATGAAGAAGACGGAGACAGACAGGTGGCCACACTTGGTTCAGGCTCACACAGCAGAGCAGTCAATCAGGGGCTTGTCTCATGGAGTGACGTGGAGTCCTCCTCTCAGGCAGGAGACAACGACTGGAGAAAAATCTGTTGCTTATATAGCCAGTAGTAAACAACTTGTGTCCTATCAGTGTGGGCCAGACCGTGTGCCTTTGCTAGGAGCAGGGTGTTTATGCTTTAAGGGCTTAGGACATTCAAATCAAGGTAGTGGGGCATTCACCATATTTTGGAAGTTACAGAGTATTGGGGTCTTTACACAGCAAACATTTGACACATTAATCATTTCACACAATAATTATTTCCACACATTAGAGGGGTTTCCTTATGACCATAACATTATTATAACACAGCAGGTCCCTCCTTGATCTTGGCCTGTGTCGCAGGTGCCCAGCTAAGTGCGGATGTCATCTCTGAGCAGGAAAGAAGACAGACCTTAAACCTCTACCCTGAGGCCAGCAGCGTAGCCTGTGCTCCTGCAGGTCACCAGGACCAGTGGGAATGAGTGACCGCGAGGACCTGCCTGTCCCTCAGCGGGGCCAGGTCTCAAGCGCATCGGAACAGGTTCTTAAACGCACAAGGGCCTCTCTGACTGTGGTCCCAGTGAGTGTGCTTGAGGGGAGCCAGGCTGGCTGCGCTACTTAAAGTCTCCGGACTGTGTCGCCAGCGCTCCTCCGCCCGCGGCCAGACCACTCCGGGTGCGCGCGCTGGTTCATGCCCTCAGGCCTCCCCTTTGCTGTCTGGAAACAGTAGTCACCAGGTTCTGGGGTCCTCACGCGGACAGCAGCCACCAATGCACCCTGCCTCGCCTCGTGAGAGTGTAGGGGAGGGAGGAGACTAGGGCTGGTCCCGAACCGGTGATGGGGGATGATGCAGGGAGAGGGGGAGACAGGCGCTGGTAGGGACGCTGGTGGGTGATGGGGTGGGAGTGGGTTGGATAGGAGGATGTGGAATTCAGGGCGCGGGGTGTGTAAAAGAGGAGCAGGAGGCAGGGAGCGGTGGGCACAGGGTGTAGCCCGCATTGGGGCCCTTGGTTCTCTGGCGCCGCTGGGCGTGAACTGGGGTGGACG